GCCAATGCACGTGATAAACTGAGGTGTATAGATCCTTCGCAGTTTAGCTGGGGCAGGAACGCGAAAAAGCTTTTGTTCTAAACCAACCTGTGTCACCTGGAGTTTCCAACACTTCTTCACTAGAAAGGAGCTTGAGGACTACTACAATGGGCTTCTGCTACCTCCAAGACACATTTTCTGTTGATATGGCAGTCGATCCTAAGCTGAGATTAATTTTTTGCCAAGGCTAGTGTAACTTTTGGAAACTTTTGAAAGGGGTATGGAGGAGCCGGAGCATGTGAATGAAGACCGGTTTCGGCAGCCGATTATTTTGCCTGTTTTCTTTCACAACACGTAACCATCGACCGGGTGCCAACGCAGCCTCCGATACTCACAGATTACATGAACCGCCTGTGGCGGATTTTCGATGTTCAACGGACTAAATGAATGCCGGGCACGGAGTTCTTTCGAAGGCTGTGTTGTGTTGGAATGAAAGGCGCGATCGCATGCGATCGTCTGTCGTGGTTAGGGCATGTTTGCTGAATAGATGATGACAGGATTCCGAAGTATCTTATCCATGATTAAATACGAGGAAAGGTAGCCCTTTGGTGTCTGAATACTTGGGCTGAAAGTCTAACAACTACTGATGTGGATTTTCTGAATTTGGAATCGAAAGCATATACGAAGAAGGCACGGAGGAGAGTGATGCGAAGTGGACTTTGTCAATTCAACGAAAAACATCTTCAAGCTAGGGGACTGGATTTCGCAAGACCCGACAATACCACTGTAGTGGTTGTACTCGGAGACCAAACAAGCGGGATCTGCGGCGACTGCACTCATGTTTGTGGCGATCACCTTGGATTCATCGGCCACCAGTGAATACGCAGTGATACACCGGCAACCTCCTGCGAACAAGGTAATCTTACCATATCCACCTTAGTTTTCAGAGGTTATCAGATAGTTAGGTCGGTGTCGGTGCTAGCGTCGGTTTTTCGCACAGATCAAAACCTACGAAGTTGTCCTAGCACGGTGAATAATACGGTGCGGTGAGCCTGTGATGGTGCTGGAGGTGACTTTCAATAGTCGAATTGTGGCTAACTACAGAACACCATGAAGAGGTATTCAGAGTTCGGTCTGTAGTGCCAGCCCAAAGTTCAACAGTTAAGCCATTCCATTTTGTGTCAGTAAAGCCCCGTCTCTAATGTCCCGGGTATTCCGAATAGTCAAGCTTACAGCAGTGTTAGAGGCGATATTTGTATTCATCGTTGTGTAGACCAACCTTAATAACATCTTGTACTAACTAGCCACATGCATGTCTCTAAGGTAGAAAGATACACAGATAGATAAATAGATAGATAGATAGATAGATAGATAGATAGATAGATAGATAGATAGATAGATAGATAGATAGATAGATAGATAGATAGATAGATAGATAGATAGATAGATAGATAGATAGATAGATAGATAGATAGATAGATAGATAGATAGATAGATAGATAGATAGATAGATAGATAGATAGATAGATAGATAGATAGATAGATAGATAGATAGATAGATAGATAGATAGATAGATAGATAGATAGATAGATAGATAGATAGATAGATAGATAGATAGATAGATAGATAGATAGATAGATAGATAGATAGATAGATAGATAGATAGATAGATAGATAGATAGATAGATAGATAGATAGATAGATAGATAGATAGATAGATAGATAGATAGATAGATAGATAGATAGATAGATAGATAGATAGATAGATAGATAGATAGATAGATAGATAGATAGATAGATAGATAGATAGATAGATAGATAGATAGATAGATAGATAGATAGATAGATAGATAGATAGATAGATAGATAGATAGATAGATAGATAGATAGATAGATAGATAGATAGATAGATAGATAGATAGATAGATAGATAGATAGATAGATAGATAGATAGATAGATAGATAGATAGATAGATAGATAGATAGATAGATAGATAGATAGATAGATAGATAGATAGATAGATAGATAGATAGATAGATAGATAGATAGATAGATAGATAGATAGATAGATAGATAGATAGATAGATAGATAGATAGATAGATAGATAGATAGATAGATAGATAGATAGATAGATAGATAGATAGATAGATAGATAGATAGATAGATAGATAGATAGATAGATAGATAGATAGATAGATAGATAGATAGATAGATAGATAGATAGATAGATAGATAGATAGATAGATAGATAGATAGATAGATAGATAGATAGATAGATAGATAGATAGATAGATAGATAGATAGATAGATAGATAGATAGATAGATAGATAGATAGATAGATAGATAGATAGATAGATAGATAGATAGATAGATAGATAGATAGATAGATAGATAGATAGATAGATAGATAGATAGATAGATAGATAGATAGATAGATAGATAGATAGATAGATAGATAGATAGATAGATAGATAGATAGATAGATAGATAGATAGATAGATAGATAGATAGATAGATAGATAGATAGATAGATAGATAGATAGTAGATAGATAGATAGATTGATAGATAGATAGATAGATAGATAGACAGAGAGATACCCAACTAGATTTTTTCCTGGAGGAGAGTTAGCGCTTGTTACAGCAACCGTTATGTTATTTTGGGTTTTGATAACTGTGATCTACTCAGTGTGAGCATTTCAAACAACTACTTCGCTAAGGGTCTGCGGGTTTTAACTCCTTAGATGTGTTTTTGTCTATCAACCATTTCCAGAAGAAGACGTGCTGCATCTCTGTACGTTTAACACGAAATGTGATTGCCTCCAAATACACACCACAAGCATATACACCTAACACACAATTAGTTCATGTGCGTCCTGATTGTTTGATTACACGGATGGGATTCGATTGATTCGGTTTACAATTCCACGGTAAAACGCACACGCAACTAGCAGCACATCGCCCCTCATCAACTCCCTTAGGCCTAATGCCACACCGAAGAGCCAGAAACACCATGAGCGAAAAAAAGTTAGGTGAAACTCAGTCGAGTATTCCGTTGATGTGCAAATGAATGTAATTCACGAACTGCCTCAAATTTGGGTTCCAGGTGAGCTTAAGACTTTCTGAAAGGAAACTCTGGGATGAAACTCCTGGATAAGAACTCTGATAAATCCTGAACAGCGCGAAACCGATCCAACAGTTTTCAGCAGCCTTATGAATTTTGTGTTCTGTGGAGCCAAGAACATCTTTGGTCGTCATTCTGATCAACCGTCGACTTGGTCAGATAGCTAAGTCTGTGCTGTCTAGTCAGGAAGTAGCCGGGCCCAATTCCATGAACATCAAAAAGTGTCCTTACACCCTTGTGTCTACATCAAATGTCGCCCTGCATATGCGTAATTTGGATCTGTCTGACAGCACAGCACCGTGCAGCAAAAACCACAGAATAGTTTAACATGTGCAGCAGGATTGATAAAGTTAACTACGGAGTCCGATTGACGGTGTAACGATCAATCGTCCGTGGTTATCACTCGAAGAAGCAAGTAAAAAGATTACACATGTGTCAAACGAATCTTCCATACAATTAAGACTTTCTGTAAACAAGTCCCTCAACATATACAAAATGCCCTCTACAAAACTCCTCATCAACGTGTCATTTGTTTGCATCTCCGTAAGTGATAGAACACCGATTTTGTCAAGTAGGACTAGAGATATGTTCAGTTACAATATCTCCGAGGTTCATCAACATCATCGTCATGATCAGATACAGCAACATCCTTGTTGAGACTGATGCAATCACCAAGTTTACATAATTAGATTTAGAGCGTTAGAATGAAAACAAGGGAAAAGAGTGACTAGGTGACTGGCCTATCGCAACCAGCCTGAGGCGCATACACATCCAAGTGCTAAATCAGACAATATGAAAGGAAACTGAGGGTGCCAACACCAGTGTCATCGATTAGCCGCAATTTCTTGCAATGTCTTCAGCCAAGCGCAGGGGGGTTACGAGGCTCCCATCTTGGCAGACCGCATCAACAACATTTACTCTCTCCACACCATCCTATCTTCACGATTGCATTGAGAAGAGTTATGGAAAGGCTGGATATCCATTTACATTGTATCTTGGCAGACCGCATCAACAACATTTACACTCTCCACACCATTCTATCTTCATGGTTGCATTGAGAAGAGTTATGAAAAGGCTGGATATCCATTTATATTGCGTTGGAACCCCAAAATTAGCTTTTGTATTGCTTCTGTTACTCACATTTACTGCCCTACCATAGGTAGCAGTCAGTATCTTCTTGGAACCTCTCAAAACGCCAAACAGAAATAAGCTTCCATCTTTCTTCAAATTAAACTTTTCCTCCTATAACCCCGTAAAGATCAGTTATTAGATAGTCTTTTTCAGAACTCTAACTACAGATGACCCGATAGAATTTAACATATTTTAGCCTCCATCCGCAACGCGATGACAAAGTGACGCCAACCAGCAATGAAGTTAATCTCAATGAATAAGTTAACCTCCAAAGATCGATAACATCAGGGGAAAATTAAGAAACCTCATAAGGGAGCTGATTCTTCGTGAGGCGACAAAACTCCTTGTTTGGTTGGGTTAGTCCAATCATGTGAGTCGTCTTTAGGTACAACGGAATGCGTCATCGACCGAATTCCCAGTGATGCGTAAGACTGAAGATTTTGTACTTTGTTTAACCAATAAGACCGACGGAAAATGGTAGCACGCACTAACCTATTGCAGTTGATTTGTAAAGCAAACGCCTGCACTATTGTGATTATTTTGGTACACTGGCATTTTCACGCGAATTACCCAGTATGTTTTCAGCTTCCACATAAGTCTGCGTATTCATGTGTGCAGCCACCAACAGCCTGCATGAATACTGAGTATGTCATATCAGAAGTGTGCGTGCGTGCGATTGTGCGATCTTACCTCACACTAGCTGTGTGCATGCTCACTTAAAATCTATCATATGTCACCAACCGTATCGATTATCAGACGGTATTAGACGAAGCTAGTAATGGACTTCATTACCGTATACCCAGACGGGCTATTGACACTTTCGCAAAAGTAGCTGTTCACACGAGATCCTGGGAATTACAGCTGTTATCACTTTGGTAGAAGATGGGTAGACCATCCAGTGGAGGGAAATTACGCTGTTTGAGTTGCTGTCCATGTGGATCGAAAAGGCCCACCATTAACCATGTGGATATTTCCAGCCCTTCAGCACCCAGACCGATTGACAATGCTGCTCCAGCCACACCCAATTCCCACCATGTTAACTTTGTGGGGGCCGGCAGTCTTCCGAAGCAAACCTTAGTTGGCGATGCGCATTGGCAGCCGAAAGACCTGGGAGACGTGGCGATGAAGCTGAGAGTAAGTACATTTGGACGATGCGCTGTTTTAAGGTGCATGCCGTTTTTATTTATAGTGAGTGAAATATTTGATAAGGAACTGTC